TGAAAAAGATGTGAATTGGGTAGAGTTTAACTCAATAATATAATACTTTTACAGCTAATCCTAATTGCCTCTTTCTTTTTAGACGAAGTCTATGATCAATAATCACTTTTAATATAGATTCTAATTTAAATGTTTGAAAAACGGCTTTTTGTAACTAAAATGGAAATACATGAAAAAATTCTCACGAACAGTTATGAAATATATCAGAGATACAATAATGGACTCAAAAAATAAGCAGCAGATTTAAAAAGAAAAGCTAAGCTTTTTTGTACTAATCTTTGGATTTAGATAAATATACTATTCAAAACTTCTTTTTACTAAATGGTGTTTGAAAACGTTTAACTGTGTCATAACACAATGTTCAATTGCAAATTTAGCAAATTTAACGGAATAACAACTATAAAAAGCCAAAATCCTAAACGCAGTAGCTCCCCTTTAAATCAGAGCAGCAGCGCAGCGAGGGCGGGGGGGGTTCCCGTCACACAGACGCGCACACACACAGGCAGATACAGAAGAAGAACTTTCAAGATTACTTTTGTAAGCAAATATAACTGATGTTGTTCTTAACTTTTGTCATCCAAGTGTAGAAATGGCCACTTTCCACACTTGTTGCAAAAGGCACTCTTAGTGTTTAACGTTTCCCTTTTTATTATTACTTTTAATTTTTACACCATGGTTTCACTAAGGATCCTGCTCCAAGGGACTCAAACCCTGAGACTGTGTGTCTCCAAGGGACTTAAACCCTGAGACTGCTCCAAGGGACATAAACCATGAGACTGCTCCAAGGGACATAAACCATGAGACTGCTCCAAGGGACATAAACCCTGAGACTGCTCCAAGGGACTTAAAGACCTTATGACGGATTTGATTTATTTAGAAATACAGTTTTAATACCATTTTATATTAGAAGAGAACTACTAAAGGTTTCAAAATCAGTTGTTTTTTTTGTCTGATCCCCCCAAATCGAAATAACCCCATAGCAACGCCCTTAGAAACGAAAAAACTTCACAGCCCTTGGTGACGTCAGAACGGGTACGTTTCAACGCTGTAAGTTGTTTACAATTTGGTATTCGTTCTTTTTTCGCGGATATTTCGCGGACACGGGCGGCACGGTGGCTGAGTGGATAGCACTCTCGCCTCTCAGCAAGAAGGTCCTGGGTTCGAATCCCAGTCGGACTAGGGCCTTTCTGAGTGGAGTTTGCATGTTCTCCCTGTGTCTGCGTAGGTTTCCTCCGGGTGCTCCGGTTTCCCCTACCACTAAAAATATGTACAATAGGTCTGGCATGTGCCTCCTGTACTGGCCCCACTCCCAAAAATAACAATTGTAAACCGCTTTGAGACTCCGATGTGCAGTGAAAAAGGCGGTATATAAATAAAGATTACTAAAAGATTACTAAAGATTACTAATTACTAATATTCAAGATGACAAGGCCGTGTACAGCGAGTCTAAGATAACTACTAGAAATTAACATTTCGTTGTCACAGAGATAGTCCCAGTGGTTGTGTCGATGGACTGCCTATCCAGACACTTGGGTTCAAATCCCAGCTCGGACATTTTTTCACACTCAAAACGGCAATTTATGTGTAGTGAGCAATTGTCACCTGTAGAGGGCAGTATTGTGTTGGGCATCAGTGGAGAGGGGAGAGAAAAGGCAGTCCTGTGGCATAGATCCATGGTTTTCAATGCATGGGCGTAACCCGCTATGACGTCACACACAGGTTAGAGCATAGACAACTTAAATTCATGAAAAACACGTTCTTTTTATAAAATATAGGATTTTTTTTTCCGGAATCTCTTTCAAATTGACATTGTCATGCAATTTTGATATCCACTATTTTTTTTTTTAAAAACCCGTCATAAGGTCTTTAAACCCTGAGACTGCTCCAAGGGACTTAAACCCTGAGACTGCTCCAAGGGACTTAAACCCTGAGACTGCTCCAAGGGACATAAACCCTGAGACTGCTCCAAGGGACATAACCCCAGAGACTGCTCCAAGGGACTTAAACCCTGAGACTACTTCTTTCAATACAATTTAGAGAGTTTGACAGACCCCAAAAACAGACCAAAATTTAGCTAATATCCAATTATGCAGACTTTACATATTAAAAAAGGTGTCTGCTTACCTTGATTCTTTGTCTGGACTGTTTAAGAGGTCAGCCAACTTCTTTTCCGCGTCGGAATATTCAATTTAAAAAACAAAAGTGACAGAAGCGACAAGAAGCATCCAGGAACAGCTCTTCCAGCCTGCTGGAATCTCCGCTCCCAGATACAGCATGCCGGTCTCTCACGCAGAGGAAAAGAAACAAAGGAAACTCCCTCAAAACAATCCAGAGAATGGCACACACTGACCCGCGCATCCTCCACCAAATCTGTCAGGGATGAAGCAGACAGAGACGGATCGTGGTGCGCCAAACTCTGGAAGTTTATTTACGTTTCTCTCAAGTTCCAGTGGTTTTCATTGTTTCCTTCTCTCAGACAAAATGGAGTCAGTACACAGTTTATATAGTCATTGTCACATCACACATGGAAAGACATACGTGTCACACAGAGACAGTCACATCATAATCAAAATAAAATCAAATAATCAGAGTCCTTGTAGAGTCCTGCACGTAGGCCCTATTGCTATCTAATACTAACACAGGTATTATGTATGTGAGCGATCGCTGTTTTCATCTGGGCATTTGGGATGCCAAAGGACAATTCTGTTGCCATTTGTTTACAAGAGCGCCACCTACACGTCACCCGTAGTATAGAACATGAAGAAACCCTTGGAGCCCTTCAAGTTTGTCTTCTCTCGGATTGACAACATGGAACTCTTTTCTGTTGAATATGTTGATAAGAGGTTATGTATTTTTTTATGAATGCATAATAAATAAGTGAATGGCCTTATCATTGAGTTAATTTATTCACCACAAAAGGGGAATGTTCAGTATTGCATCACAGGTTACAGAACAGTAGGAAAATCAAAAATTAATGTGTAGACCTATAGGTCTAGCTAACTCTTATTCCTCTAGAAATTAATAGAAAAAAGAAATTGGGCACCTATGTAACTTTAATGCTGATGCGAGAATAATATAGATGAATGGAATGAGCATCTAGAAGTTGCAGCTCTTTACTATAATAAAGCCTCGCCATGGTATCTCCTACCATATTTATTGTCTTTTCGACGGTTTTTCATGTTCTGTACTACGGGTGACGTGTAGGTAGCGCTCTTGTAAACAAATGGCAACAGAATTGTCCTTTGTCATCCCAAATGCCCAGATGAAAACAGCGATCGCTCACATACATAATACCTGGTCACAATTTGTGGAACAAACGTCACCATTTTTGTTTGTTACATAATATATACTATGATTAAATATATGCTTTATAATTTTGTGAAGAAAAACGTTTAAGTCCCAGGGAAGGTCATGTGACAGAGGCTCCTGAAGGAGGTCATGTGACAGGGGCTGAACAGGGAGGTCTGCAAGGGGGGGGGGGAGTCTGCAGCCAGATGCCTCTCGATTAATGTGCGTTGTCCCAATAAATAAATACCTATTGTAAAAAATAAATTACCACTACTACCATTTCCAAGTTCCATGTGCACATGTAAACAGACCACATTTAACATTGTTGATGCTAGCCTCTGTTCAATAAAAGCTCACCAGTCACGTTTGATCAGGCAGGTTTATATTTTTTATTATTAAAGTGCATAGAAACAGTACACAAATTGTATAAAAGAAAAATTTTTGGCTTTTCATTTGAAATGGCACTGTTCCGTTCCGAAATTCATTGTTCCATTGGTTTTGAGATACGTGAATAGATAATTAGAATGCAGAGCTTCAGTTAGACACTCAGGACCTCTTTCAGACCAAGCACGTTTCGATCAGATTCCAACCTTTGTGGCCCTGGGGGGGCATCTAAAACGGTGGTTAGGTGTTGCTGTTATTTACCAAGATCTATTTTGATTATGTAGTGGTATTCTTTCTTTTCAGAACGGGAAAAAAGTAAGCAAGGCTTGTTATTGACTCCCTTACTCATTCATGTGGGTTCAAGCTTTAGAATACAAATTGATGTGGTTCTCTTAAGAAAACAAGATTTACAATAATGTATAACATGCCATAGACCCCCATATCAACTTCTTTCAATCTTTGCAAATGTTGACAATCATTTATGGACCCCTGGTTAAGAAACTGGTTTAGCTCATTAAAGCTCAGTGGGTTGGGGATTGTTAGAAATTTGACAAAAACAAATTTCCAGTGATGCCTGGAGAACATAATCATTGAGATGATTTGTTACACATTTTCTTAAATTATTCAAAAGAATTATCTGAGTCATACAACCTTTTCATGGCATGTATGTCTATGTAAGTCACAAAAAATTGCTTACAGCACTTACAGAACTATTAAGCGCATAAAGGCCACACTTTAAAATTGAGACCAGACAAGACAATACCTTTTGTTTTAAAACGGCAGAGGACAACTCTGATATCAAAGCCTCAATGTTTGCCATAGTTTGAAAAAAAGAATTTGGGCAGAAGGGATGCGCGTGCTGAAGTTCCTGATCTTAGCGTGGATGGAGGATATGTAGCATGTTTATAAAAAGACAATTTTGCATAGAATTTATCCTTTGAATAATAGGCCTTTATTATACACAGCAGACTATTTTTCTTTAAACCTTGTGGAAATTCTGTGTCAACAAGTGAAAGGTGGTGTTTAGTTTGGACTAGTGCTGCTTTTCTACACAGGGAAGACAGGAACATGTCTTCCCTGTGTTAATGGGGGCATAAAAAAAAAGATTGATTCTTTGAAGATAAGGTTAAAGTGCATCCGGGACCAGAAGGATTCACAGTATAATGGACTACGGCAAGTTTCTCATTCATGTGAAGCAATATAAACATTTTCTGAAGGAGGTCCACAATTATCCAAGCCTTGTTAATAAATACAACAAAAACACACTACTGTTGGTCCAGCCACAGCCCGTTCATGTGTTCTGGTTCTAGTCCAGTGTGGTCAGGGGATCATGAGAGGGTCAGCATGAGGGGCTTCTGCTCGTCCCGCTTACCCAGCAGGTTGGTAATCATGAAGGAAGAGAAGTAGTAGAACTCAGCAGCGAAGGAGAACTCTAACAGCTGTAGGTTTACACTCAGCATCCACTCAAACACTGCCGATACATGGGAGTACAGGTACTGCTCCTGGGCAAAGAAGATTGTGTCTGTACAGTCAGTCAAGGGTGTTCTCTGTACGTTTAGTGGAGCTAAAAAGCAAATATGATGCATTATGGGCATTTGTGTTGATTTGTGCCAGACAATCCTGAATAGGAGTGTGAATGCAGATTTGTTTATGAGGAGGGAAAATGTTGTGACATGCTTAAAAGGGAGGAAAATGCATTGTGTGGGGTCAATATTATATAATTAGTTGAAAATATAAGCCCCTTTTTAAACTTCAGGTTTCACCAAAGAAGTAACATTGTGGGACCATTATATGTGCCTCTTGGTGGAAGTCTGATCTATGAGTGCTTTTCAAATAATTTAAAAACATTAGCTGGTCCACACAAAGCAACATTTCATTGTTAATTTTACTTAGATACAGAATATATATATACTGTATATCTGTATCTAAGTAATATTTATATATATATATACACATATTATATATATATATATATATTATATATATAATGTTTTGAAAAATGCTAACAAACCATTCAGCATCTCACTTTGGACTAGAAAGTGGTCCGAACCCAGGGGCTCCACCTTTGCTGCTGTAACCCATCCTGCTCCACCCAGCGGCTACTCCACCTCTGCTCCTGTGGCCTATCCTTCTCCACCACCTCTGCTGCTGTGACCTAAAGTGCTGTTGCATTTTAATACTGTTGTAAGCTATTCTTAGAATGATCCATTCGTTTTGTTTGAATGATTGCATGTGTTTCTGCTGCTACTGGGTACCACTAAAAGTGTCTATCATATGTTATTCTCAAACGATAATAATCTGGTTATTTCAACTTTTAAGTAAGAACTGTTATACATATTCATTGTTGATTTCAGTGTCACATATAATCTTCAATAAAACAATGATAGATGCATACATCAATGTTTTCACTCCTGTCGGCTATATTTAATCAATAAATTACTTGTATAATACAGTATTCTTGCAATCATTTGTTCTGGAAAACGGCAGATTAAGACAGTTCAAGGTCACAGTAATGAGTTTTGCAGTAGATCGACAGTCTGGTTTGAAGCTATGAGGATTTTTAGCTAAAATAGGAATATCCAAATCAACTTCAAGGCTTGCCTACTGTTACGCCCTGGTGGCAGAAGGCCCTAAATCTCTCCACTGGCTTCCTTAATAGACTAGAATCAAATTAAAAATCCTTCTTTTACACATAAGGTCTTAAATGATATAGGAGTCATGGCTGAGTGGATAGCACTCTTGCTTCTCGGCAAGAAGGTCCTGGGTTTGAATCCTGGTCGGAACAGGGTCTTTCTGAGTGGAGTTTGCATGTTCTCCCCGTGTCTACGTAAGTTTCCTCGGGGTGTTCCAATTTCCCCTACCACTAAAAACATGCATAAAAGGTCTGACATGCGCCTCCTGTACTGGCAGAACTCGCTCCCATCGCTTTGTGGAGAGAGAGACAAATGCCAACACCTCTGGTCTGTGAAAGGTGATATATAAAGATTACTTACAAGTTAAAAGGAGTATTTTTATTTTAAATAGACACGTTGATATATCAACCGAATTGTGATCGCAAAACACAAGTGTCGAAAAGCAGTCGGAGGAAGAGCATTTTGCTACAAAGCTCCTACACTGTGGTATTAGTTCTCCATCCATGTCAAGGAAGCTGACGCAGTCTCTACATTCGGTCCTCAATCTACAGCCTGATTGAGGACATCCGTGGGAGTGAATCCCCCTGTCAATATGGGCCTCCCCGAGGTATCTAATTTTATCCCAATGGTTTTTTTAGACTTTTTTTCTTTGCGAAACAGAAGGGTCAAAAGACAGTGGCGATGATCTAGGACTCCTGACATTCAATGACATATGGACATTGGTCATTGGCCCCTTATCGACCAATGTTTTTTTTAATCATTGCATTTCCTGTGTTTCAATGGTTTGATTCTCTGATCCGTGTTGGCGAGTTGACTCTTGAGATAACTTGTGATTTAGGGATAAACAGAGACACCTCTTTCTTAAATATGGGGCCAGTTTGCTTGTCCTCCTCTGCTGTCTGCTATGTGGGCCAGGATTATAGACTGTATGTAAGAAGTAGACTAGCTGAGTGCTGTCGTCACCCATAGTGTGCGCAATAACAGGGAGAGGCGTGTTGCTAAGATGATTGCTAAGGCAAGTTGTGGTTTCCTTCACAAATGACCAGGAGTTTGATTGGTCATGCCTTACATGGTATCTGGATTTACTAACACAAATCAAAATATAAACCAATGATTTTTTGAAACCCAAAATGGTGAGTGTGACACAAACGTTTACTGAGCCCACTTTTACACGTGTTAAGTCCATAGGAGCGTGAGCGAGTTGGAGTTTTGTCCATGAGCACTTCCCTATTGGGCTTTATCGAGGTAGGGGGTTGGCATTGTCCATCTATATTCCATCTATATTCCATCTATTGCCAGTTTCCAAGCGGAATACACCTCTGACTAAAGATTTAGTTTCGAAGCCTAATTGTAAAGTTTTGGCTGTTTGAGTGTCTTATGTCCCCGTGACAGCTCCGTGCAGCTATCTTCCCAGGGAAAAAATTCATCTCTTGCTTTTGCTGCATCAAGTCTCTGTACCCAGTGGCTCTACTGCACCTGCTATTCCTTACACGGACGTGCATAACTATTGACACCACATTGAAACACAATCTATAGATTCATGGATGAATGGATGGTGAGGTTGTTTTTTTGCATTTCCCAGAATATTTTGCGGTCCATGCTTAGCCGAGATAGGTCGAGAAGCGTCTGGCTGTGTCTCCCAGAATGCTGCGCGCTTCTAACTTTCTGTGTTTTCTTCCTGTTTTGTTTCAAACGGAGTGAAGTTAAACTATCAAACATTCTATCGACCCAGTTTTCTATTTATATCGAACACGTGTCTATCGCAATATATATCGTTAAAACCGCCCAGCTCTGATTCAGTTCCTCTGTTAAAAAATTTATTTTATACGAGTTATTGAAGAAAGACCACAATCTAATCCAAACCCCCATTGACCAACAGTTTGGCTTCCATCACCCTATTACGACTACAATTTGTTCATGGCTAGTCTAGTACTTTAGTATTCTTGAAGCCAAGTTTGTTAATTCATTTATGGACAACAAAATATTAGTTTTACATGTTTATGCGAGTTGAAAGTCCATCTGACAGGGGGCTCAGTGAGACGTTCCCAGCAGACCCCCACTACACGCTTGGGTCTGCCAGGTCTGACCGGCTTCCTCCCCTTGCTTCTCTTAATCATTCTCATTGCCCCCCATGTCGCCGAGGCGGCCGAGATGGGGGGCAATTAGAATGGCCACCCCCGCTCGTCGCCTCTCCCCGCGAGAAACACCAGAAAAGTGGAGCATCCAACTCCTCTCAAGGAGTTGGGTTCCAGCGCCCAAGCCGTGTGTGGAGATGAGGCCATCTATCTCTAGTCGGTGTCTCTCCTGGCTCCAGAGTGAGGCCCCGGCTACGCCATGCCGGGCGACATCACTGGTTTCATTGTAGTGCTATTCATGGTTGGCTTCGGACTGCGCTTTGTCTGACTCGTCACCCAAGACCTGTTTGCCATGGGAGACCCTACCAGGGGCATGAAGCTTGGTGGCAGTTTTATTTGTTCATAAATGATAATTACAAAACAAAATCAGTAAAGATTTATTATCATTTATTTTCTTTCGTATAAATATATATGCCATGCAAACTATAGCAATGGCCCCATTCCCCACACATGAGCTTTTATTGCTCTATTTCATAATTCATATCTCTCTGCGTATGTCTATTTGCCAATGGGGTCATTTTTAATCTTGCTAATAAAAAGCCCATTTGTGACCAATCCTCTTTTGTCAATACACAGTGTGCAGAGATGTAACTGGAGAAACTTGCCTCTATTCATTACAACGCTAAAAGATAGGCTGTTAGAAGTGGTCGACGGAGTGCTGCACTTGTTACAACGCCTACGACCTACACATCATAGCAGGGGCAAAAGCAAGCTAACGTGTTGCTAACATGGTTCCCCCACAAAAGACGGCATCTGCTTTGTCAAGGACTGTATTTGAGACAAAAATTCTACACAAACGTTTACTGAGCCTGCTTGTACATGTAAGTCAATAGGAGCCTGAGTGAGTTGGAGCTTTGTCCATGAGGATTACTATTGCAACAACACATCATCGGTAGGGTAAAACTAACATGTCTCACAACAATCTAAGCATGCTCTTTAGCATATGGTTAGGTTGTTTGTCTGGTTATGGAGTCTGCTTGTACGGGACCCGGTCCGGCGAACTGCTGCATCTTTCAACCTTTGTTACAAACTCAAACCTATCCTAACCACATATCGTGGATTATCCACTTTCTTTGGTGCTGTAGCCTGGGCTAGCCTAGCCGTTGCTGCTGCTGTCTCTCCTTCAGTCGGACACGGTCTCTACATTCAAGGCTAGGCTTAAAACAGTCCTCTTCAGTTTAGCATATGGTTAGGAAGGTAAGACTCAGGGAAGGCTAAACATCTTTGACTCCCTACGCAGCTTGACTGACAATCTGTTTGCTGGGAGAATGGTAGAAAGGAGTATGGTGTCAGGATATGCTGTGTATTGTGTTGATCACTAGAGGGCACTGTTATACAATAAATCAAGATGGCTACACCCGACACGTTTTTGCCTCGATTCATACTCAAGAGAAGTAATAAAACATGGTGTCAGAAGTTAAAAGAAGGACCTGATTCAAGGAGGCAACGATGGCAGGATTAAAGCCACCAGCTGAACTCGAGCTGCAGAGCGGAAATCCCTCTGAAAACTGGAGACGGTTCCGACAAAGGTTTGAACTGTATTTAGCCGCTACCGGAGGAGCTAGCAAACCGGCTAAAGTGCAGTCCTCACTATTTCTCCACATTGCCGGTGATGAGGCAGTAGAAGTGTACAATACCTTCACATTCGCCAACGGTGATCACAAACATAAAGTGGAGAAAATAAGAGAAGTTTGAAGAATATTGCAATCCAAAAACGTATCCAATTACGTATGAGAGATACAAGTTTTTTATGTGTTCAAGGGGATATGTCAACGAGCCAATACATCACAGAGCTAAAACTACGTGCAAAGTCCTGTGGATTTGGACTATTACAAGAATCTCTTATTCGTGATCGGGTTGTCTGTGGAATCACATCAGACGCTATGAGAGAGAGACTCTTGAGAGAAGGTGATCTTACACTTGAACGAGCAACTCAACTGTGTTTAGCGGCAGAAGTCACTAAAGAACAAATGCATGAGGAAGTTAATAGTGGTATGCGGGAGAACAAACACGTGGACGCCGTAAAATACAAACCGCAAAACAAGAGATTTCAGCAAAATAAAACAAAAGCTAGTGACAAAGGAAAACTAGACACATTTCACTGTAACCGTTGTGGTAGTGAGCATGGAGCCAGGAAATGCCATAAGCAGGTTATGGTATTGTGATAAACTGAACCATTTTGCCAGAATGTGTCGCTCAAGAAAAGTACACACACTTGATGAAGATGACAGTGAAAAGGAAACAAGTGTTTTTTGTAAGTGTACAAGCAAAGACAAAGGCAGAAAAGGAAGTCTGGACTGTCACAATGAAGATGGAACACAAATCCATAAAATTCAAACTGGATTCTGGGGCACAAACCAACGTAATCCCTTACAAGATACTTCAGAGGATGGGCAAAAAAGCAATGTTAAGACCCACAAAAGTTAAGTTGTATGCTTATGCAGGAAACAAAATACCTGTAATGGGAGTATGCCACTGGACTGTTAAATACAAAAAGAAGCCACACACGCAAGAGTTTGTTGTGGTAAAACCTGATGCAATCCCAATACTGGGACGCAAAGCATGTGAAGACATGGGTCTCATCAAAAGAGTAAATGTACTGGACAAAAGGACTATTCAAGGACTATTCAGATGTGTTTGAAGGCCTGGGTTGCCTGGAAGGAGAACACACCATTAAGATTGATGAGAGCGTGACACCAAAGGCTCACCCACCGAGAAAAATACCTATGACGCTGACAGAAAAACTCAAAAGTGAATTGGAATTGGATTCTCTTCCTGCTCTCCTCGAGGTCAGACGTGTCTCTTGCCTGATCCTGCTCTGCTTGCCCTGACTGTCTTTTTTCCTAGACTTCTGCCTGTATACAACTTGAAAAATGATGGAATTAATCAACTGGTCCCTCAACGCAATTGATACTATTTTTTCATCACGTAAAGGCGGTTCTGGAGATGCCGTTTGCCCGGATGGTACGGCGGCTGCTGGGTACGTTTTTGACAACTGGCAAAAGCGGCACCCCGTTTGTCTGTCGGGACTGTCCATCGAGGACATTGAGGATATATACATTTTTGGATTTATGGTAGCAGGGTAAATCAAGATGGCTACACCCGACACGTGCCTCGATTCATACTCAAGAGAAGTAATAAAACATATGGTAACTTGAGCACTATCTTCTCCTCTTTCCGACTATCTGTCTGCATTAGTAGGATTTTGACTGTAGGCTGTTCATTGCTAATCACCCATTGTCCCATTGTCCGTTTCATGGCGTGACAACAGGATCTCTGAACCTGGCCCTACACCTGAGTAGTGCCCAACCCAACTGGGAGTTGCTTCAGTCCTGCACCGGACCTGTCATCGTTCTGCGGCCGTTGCATGGTCTTGGTCCTTGTTCGGTAGCTTAGGTCCTGGATCTATACCCCGTCCGTCAGTGGGAGCGGATCCCTCTCAATGTGGATCTCCCTAAGGTTTCTCACTTTATTCCCACTGTGTTTTTTGAGTTTTTCTTTGCCGATGCAGGAGGCTCTATTGGATAGTTAGTGTCTAACAAGAAGGACTGCTGTGATGATCCAGGACACTTTAACATTCTACTACATATATGGACATAAACAAACATTCATGGATATCGGTCTCTCCCTATGGACCAATACATGTGTTCTATATTTTTTGTGTCCTAAATGTTGATATGTGTTGGTGATTTAAATGGTTTTGTTAAGTCCTCTGAGATGACTGTTGTTGTGATTGAGGGCTATAAAAGTATAAATTGTATTGTAATTCTATAATCTTTTAAGCCCAAAATGGGGCATAAACAGTTACTGTAACCTTAACTTTTCATTGTAAGTCAATGGAGCCTGCGTGAGTTTAAACCAAATTTCACCCATGAGCACTCCTTTATGGGGATATTTTGTGAGATCTGAGTGAAAAGATACAGCAGATGGTGACAATGACCTGGACGATGGTGGACACTACGCGGTAAGGGTACAGCATGTGTTCCAGGCCGGAAAGCTGGCACTTCCTGGTGAGAGCAGTCAGCATGACGGTGTAGAAGCAGATGCACACGAAGCTGACGGCCGCGCCAAGGTAGTGGAGCAGGGCTAGGTGGTGCGGCTGTGGACGAGGAAATAACACAGCTTTAGTTCATCAGTGCTTCCCATCGTGTGCACCCCTGTGTACCCTCTGGACAGCTTACTTGTGTGTGTGTGCTTGTGCGTGCGCGTGCTAGCTTGATCTTTTGTATATTTATTTAAATATCTAGCAGGACAAGATCAGCTAAATTTCACAAACCCAATAAATATTGTGGACATCATGCCCAAATCATACCACAACATGCTGCCTTCATCTTGTTAGAAAAGATAGAGCCTATTACACTCTTTGGGCTGCGAGCTGATAGACCAAGTGTGGGTAGCCCTCCGAAAAAGCTGATCTAAAGATGTGACAGAGGCCAAAAATACATGTGACTTTTAATCTTGAATAAATAAATTTACAGAGCATTAAGGATAAGAAAAGATGAATACATAAACCACTCCTCAACCTATGCTAAAAAAATAAAAAAAAAACACATTTGGATAATGGATAAATACATACATACAAAAATAATGATCAGGTAGAACATAGACAAGGAGTTATAAGGAACCTAAATAATTTAAACTTAAACTGAACCAAAAGACATAATTGATTGTATGGATTTGGAGAGTTCCTTCCAGTCAGATGGAGTTTTGTAGTGGAATGTTCTACGTCCAACTTATATACAAACTCTCGGAACTGAAACGGTGGAACAATGTGAGCTTCTGAGCGAATAGGGTGTAGAGACAGGGACAAAAAACTGTTTTTAAATATTGTGGACAATTAAAATTAATACATTTAAATAATGAATGAGTAAATATGAGTAAATATAAAGAAAGTCTGTGATTATTCAACTTGCAATGTGATTATAACAAAAAAGGCTTGGCATATGTCACTTTGCATGTAATGGCCCTCATTTATGAAACTTGCGTATGGCCAAATCAGGGTGTAAATGAGGCGTACGCAAAACATGTACACTTTACGACATTTATCAATCTGGACGTGGGCGTACGGTATGCACAAAATATACACTGAGTCAGTAGGTGGTGTAAATTTTACACCCATCTCAACTTTCATCCCAACATGCCAAAACACGCATGAAATTCAAGATTTGGACAACAAACATATTCCCATTCTGGAAAAATTATAAGCTGTGTTTTCATTGAGCTCCTGGAAAGGTGCTATACAAATACACTTGCGCGTCATTCAGACGTTTTGGATCCAGAACGTCTGAATGACGTTGCATTCACAAGATGCCGCAGACGCTTCACCCGGTTAATGATGAGAGCCACCGCTGATGCCGAGATATTAATATTAATTCATTCATAGATGTAAAACTTGTATCAATATTTACCAGGACTTCAAAATACTTAAAAACTGAAAATGAATATCGACTATATTTGCTCAGCTGCAGCCCTGATCTTCTGGTCCACTAGTACGAGGATGAGAATGTCCTAAAGTGTGCTTACGTTACAGTTCCCGGCTACGAAGGCTCCCAGTCCAGCCACCAGCCCCATCAGCGTGGCCACCCTGCTCATCATGGACAGAGCTGGGTGTTTCTCCAGCACGTGAGCGTGGTGGAAGACGCAGAAGAGCACGACTGGGGGACAGAGATCTAAGTGTTAGTCAGTTTTGATCCAGTAGGATTGTAATAATGTTCCGTCTTGTTTCATTTATTTAGTTTCAGTTATCTACATCAGTACATATATTTATGTTTAAAAAAAAACATGACACCCCCCACAAGTTTCTATTTTCCCCTTGTTATAAAATATAAATAAAATATAAATATTAAATAGGAAATTGTTATTGCTTTATTATTACCAAACAATAAGCTATTGCATATCTCAAAAATAATAGACAATGACCATTTAATTTAAAATTTATATTTAAATACAATTATATGCAGATGACACAGTTCTGTATACTCATGCAAAAACAAAAGCAGAAGCAGCTTTTGTAGTCCTCTCTGGGGCCATGGTTCCAGTAACACGATGGCTCCAAAACTCCTGCCTACACTTAAATACCAAAAAAACTGTATGCATGTTCTTTCCTGTCAGCCAGGAGGGAGTGAACAGCCATCTGTTCTGGTCAATGGAGAGCAATTGGGTGGTACAACAATTTAAATACCTGGGAGTTATCTTTGATTCAAACTTAACTTTCAAAGACTATGTCAAGAAAATATCAAATATTGTTAAATTTAACTTGGCAAACTTCAAACATATAAGGCCTTACTAGACAATAGAGTCAGCAAAGGCTATATGCACACTATGATATTTTGTCACATTAACTTTTGCCACATGACTTGGTCCCACACATCCGAAAGCACTTTGAAGCCACTGAGGTCTCTGTTTAAGAAAAGACTTAAAACATTAGATAGGAAGCCCTTGCATTATCATTACTGTAACCTTGTAAGTAAGTATAATATTTTAGTTTTTGAGCGTTATCAGAAGTTTCTGGACGCTTGCTTTATTTTCAAAGTATTTGAGGCAGTGGAGTCAGAACCAGAGCACAAACCAGAGAAGGCAGTAATGTACAAAGGCACAGGACTAAATTCAACCAAATGGTAGTGTCCATCAGAGGCACAACATTATGGAACACTTTGCCGGAACACATACGAAACTGTGGGACCTACCTAACATTTAAAGGAGTCCAGAAACATTGGTTGAAATCAGACCAGTCATGCTCCCATAGATGATCTAATTCCAGCATATTTACGTTGACGCTGTTTGCAGACACATTGATTAATATGTACTGTCCTAAATTCAAATTAATAAATGAATAAAAATGTATATACTGTAGTTGTAATTTATCATCATGACTTGCTCAATCCACTCACTCCAGAGATGATATTCTGAGAGTTGAGCACACGCTTCAATAGCCTCTGCTTTCAAATAACAGCAATCAAACTGAGGCACAGCTCAATTCATCAGTTATCCTTTTCATATACTTGGGCTGATTGAGTGAGTGAGGATGGTCCTCTCTTTCTCACTTTTTTGTCTGAAAAAGCAGATCCAAATAATGCTTGCATGGGTTAACATGCATTATTTGGATCCGCCAGGGATAGACAGTTTGGTTCTATCCCTAGGGATACAACCAAATTGTCATGAGAGGGAGGAAATAGTTTAGATGTCTTTTTTAATTTTTTTTATTTAATTGGGGTTTGAAAGTTAGGTACTCCGGCAGCCCACACTGAGTGCCCCTCAATGTCCATCATTGCATTGCCATGTGTTATGGAAACTAATTTAATGAAGCTTCATAAGACCTCAAGTAGAAAGACAAGTTACAGACCACCCACTATACAACAGTTACACATTGCACCTTACATAAAAATGAGCCAGCGTTGATGGTGGCCGTGAAGAGCGAGTTTTCTGGTGCGTACGTTCCACTTGTGCTAAGACAAAATAGACTGTTAACATTGTGGAGGATGAGGAGATACTGCACTAAAGCTGCTGAAGCTGCACATACCTTATGGTGGGGACATAGCAGCAGTTCACCGTGGTGTTTCCAGAGCAGAAGTTTTCACCGCTCCTGGAGGAAAAATCCGACTTACGTATTGCTACACATAAAAATACATATACGTGTATTCCGAGAGAGGCCTATTTTGGATCATTACAAGGGGTCTATTTCTATTACTACACAGAGAGAGACCTATTTTTCATAATATTGCACAAAGAGAGGCTTATTTTCCATGTCATTTTTCGAGGTCAATTTTTATATGATTATACAGAAACAATACTCACCAGTCACTGAGGGAGCATACATGGTTGTTGGACCGAGCGATTCCATATCTGGAACAAAGCAAAAAGGACAGTTAAGCAATGGGCAAGTACTGTTGATCAAAACAAAAGTTCTGAAAAGTGGCACCACTTTTTCATTTTTCAAGTGAATATATCTTTGACATTTCATAATTTAGCTGGCATAGGCAATTTTCATTTCAGCTCAGCCTATTCCAATAATATAAAACTGCTTATAAATGATGAATGCAATTTTTTTTTAAATTGGTTTTAAAAACCACGTTTGGTCAGTCTGCTTTCTCACGAATTGTGGACCTTACTGAGTTTAAACTGTTCACATGAAGTGAAGCACAAATCAAACCAAAGTTGTGCAAGATATTGTATTTACACATGGGTATTATTTACACCCATGTGTACATATTGTATTTAATCTTGTGATTGAGTGTTTATCTGTGCTCTTATAATGGAATGTGGGAACACGTTTGATCATCGTAAATACTGCTGTTGTTGCTACTACTACTAATTCAAGTTTGGATAATAGCTTTAGTAGTATTTAACATTGGAGTTTTTATATTTCAGAGAACTAGTCAACTTGTAATTGACTACAAATTGTAATCAAAATGTTTGTATTAAAGTAATAATCAAATGACTAGATATTTTCCCCACATTGTTCAGAAGTTCATCATTAGGACAACTATCTAACAACTGCTGTTCTCTTTAAAGCATAATCTGCATAATGACTCACAAATACAATACAATCATACATACTTAAAGCTGATGTTGGCTTTACAACAGCCACAGCACGTATCAGACCATGTAGGCACAGTACACAGTGCCCAATGATAGCCCAGCACTGATAGCAAATACTCCTGTTGATTTGAATTTGCTTGTCTGTAATGAACTGCCAAAGCAAGCATTCTGTATTGTGCGCTCCTGATTACAAGATTAGATTTTAGTAAACATAAAAACCAGATGTTGCAATAAAATATAAATACACATATGAATCAATATGGAACTTGAGGGTAATCGATGCGGTTATTTGTTTGGAGAGTATTAAAGCTGGGGGGGTACCTCAGCTTTAAGACAAACAATGTTTGTCAATGGAAAAGTGTATATAATGTGTTTTTATGTGAAAAGTGAAGACTATTACTTCAGTGACATTGGCCACTTTTGTGTTAAAGGTACTCCCATCTAGCGTTGAGATCATATATTGCAAGTCTCCTTCAACCACCAACACTACGGAAGCCTCCGAGGATATGTCGTGTTTGACAGTGCTCCCCAACACCCGGTAATTCACCGGACCACTAAGGAAAGAATCCTTTAGTTTGATATATGACTGTATCTTTCCATACACTACCGCGCCACAAATGTGCTCCACATACATGTAAACAAAGTCTGCATTGTGAAGCGACACGCACTGCACAGAGGTGTTTTACCATGGATCTATTATAATATATACTTTTACAAACACTTTGAGAAGAGTTTAGCCGCATGCTGGAATGGGAAATCTGTGGGAGCTTAAAACCACGATGATCCAGGAAGCCAGGAGGACACTGCCTTGGACGAGAGATTATTAGCTTTCACTAGATCATTTGTTTTCACCCTCATCACGGTAAGAAAATAGAACATTCACAAGTATTCTGGCGATTGTTTTGCGGGGATTCTGTGTGTTATGCATATTTGAGGCTTGTCTAATGAATAAGTTTGACAATGTGACATTGTTGAAAATTGGGACAAACTTGTTGGACTCAGAGTGGGTCAGAACATCCTGAGACCTGTGTTGCAAATTCTGCCTTGTTCTCATCACTGTTGGTGCGAAGAAAGGTACGTATTGTTCACGTATGCACATTTTGTGTACAAACTACAGCAATGTGCCTCTCAGTGTGTGTGGTTTGCAATGTTGACACTTTGCTGCTATGATGCCGGTTTTTAGATTTTTGCATAATTATTTTTCTAAAAGATTGTTGTTTGGGTTGTTCTTTTACATAACTGTGGTTCTCCATGGTTCCTTGAGCCCTGCACTTGAGCCCTAGGCCCGAGGGGCCCGACAGCCCGAGGACCGGGCTTCAGGTCGATGACCGTATAATTACCTCGGACACGGGCCGGGCTCGGGCACTTTTAATTATTCTTTTTCAGAGCGGCAGATTACATTTACAAACACACCCAATGAATATAGGGTTCTATCACGCTGTAGTATTTGTGGTTCTGTATAGTATTGTCAGTGACGACACATAGCGTTACCTTCAAGTATGTTGTATATTGCGGCATCTGGGTATCATACTCTAGCCGTACACACAGAACTCATTGCAACACATCACTACCATGTATAACTCCGCACTCTAGCGGGGCCTTTGTTCATAGTGCGCTGCACTATACACTACGCAAAAACATTGCTATGGGACCGGCGCTCCACCCCTCCGGGCCAGGGCCGGGCTCGGGCCAAGATTATAGGCCCAATGGTTCCTACTTCAAACCTGTGAGGGCACAGTGGAAGCAACGTTATTAGTAGTACCTGTGAAACAAAAATGCGATTCTCGCATCTTTTTTTCCCCTTATCAACCAATGTATTTTAAGATGCTGCATTGTCACATCTGTTATTTGTTAAAAAAATAAATAATTTGGAGCAACTGTAAAATTACATAGAGTAGCTTTAAAGTATATGTTTCATGATAATAGTAAATCAGTCTATACAGAACTTTTTGGACACTTCACAGCATTATTCTTTCACTCCATAGCCTGGTTGTACCACACCTTAGTACAAATTACATTTCATACTAAAGGTCTGGATTTGCTCCATTGAGCTCCGTGAACAGGTGGGAGGGGTTAACTCCTTTTGCAGATTGAAACGATTAGATCTGAGTTTACCGTGACGTATGTAGTGCGCCCGAGTGTGTTGTTAGCATTTAGCCTAGCCATCTCCTTTGCTGCTAACGAAGCCCATGGGGAGTAGTGCCACAATCTTGACCAGCATTACATTTGATAAACAAATTTAATTGCTCCTGCTTCAATTTCTTGATAGAACCAGACAGGATTACTTTACTATCGCATTCTTTGCCATTGCCAAACTACAACCTGCCCGTTCGGCGCAAACTCTTGACGTCACCGACCTACAACACCCGCCTTCCGCGCTCTCTGAGTAGCCGGTCGAAATACGACCGATTGTATTCGCTAACATGGGGACCAGACCCAGACGTTACATGCAGTGAAATGATGATTGAGCGGCGTGTACGGATGGCTATGGCCAGGCTACATATGCGGTGGTGATATACTACTACTGTAGCCACAGCTGGCCTGGGGCAGATTCAAATAGTGAGGGAACTGTGCAATTGACCCCTCTGACCACCATCAATAATTCACGCACACATCAGAGTCATTCTAGGCAATGTGGGTGAAGTGTCTTGCCTAAGGACATAACAATAGTTTTATGTAATTTAAGTGACAGTTTGTGAGAAGAAGTTGGAGAAAAAATATGCAAATATTTGTTATGTCTACAGTTAATTTGATTTCTGTGTATTATTATTTTATGTGAAAAAAATAGAGCAAAAAAAAAAAAGTCTCACCAAAATGTCTGGATTCTATCCATCCATCCATCCATCCATTTTCTTCCCCTTAATCCATTTCTGGGTCGGGGGGGTGGCAGTCAGAGCTGCACCCAGTACACTAAGCACCAGCCCCTCACTGATCCTCCAGCAGGTGGTGAGTCCACAGGAGCCTTGATCTTTCAGTGGGGGCTTCAGGCAAAGTGGGGTAAAGTGTCTTGCCCAAGGACACAACAACAGCAATCATCAGTGGGAGTTGTGAGGTAGGTCTTGCGGTGGGCTCGAACCCACAACCTTCAGGCCCAAAGGCCAATGCTCTACCAACTTAGCCACTGTCACCCCTACCAACTGAGCCACTGTCCGATCCAAACATATTAAGCATATTCATCTGTAAAAAAAATAAAAATCTCTTGCACGCCGTCCAAGCATCTCAGGAAACATTTTGCCAAATACTGGAAAATCTCTATGGCAACCTGGCCAAATGATGCCACTGGTACAAGGCCATTATGAACCAAGTGTTTTGTCAAAATAAGTTTGAAAATCTATTATGATTTATTTATTTTTGCTCCCGTATTGTTTTGTTCTTATACTTGAATCCTACTTCATAAGCCTAATTGTGTCCAGTGAACGCCTCTTGTCCACACCTGATTTTGCACAGGGCTTGAGTCATTGTAAATCTGTTCTTTGGTTACTTTGACAATAGACTTGTACAGTATTTCCTTATCCCAGCCCTCTAACAGTCAAAGCTCATCAAACTGGCTGTATCACATACTTTTGTCTGCTTTGGATTTGTTAGAGGTGTGAACACAAACAGGCACGGTTGGTCTCAAAAGCACATGATCGCAGAAATTAAGTCACAGATGGTTGTGGGTTTGGGTGACGGACGATGTATGTGGTATATCAGCACATAACTATCATGTTTTGATAGAAGTTATTGTAATCAATTATCAATGCAGACAAAGCAGAAATCTTTGTGACAACTGAAATAACTTTGATGTGATGAGGATGTGGCACGCTCAGAATGCATGTTTAAATGTTAGACAAAACAACTACTGCTATTTATCATCCCATATTACAAAATTGTTACTTTTTACTATATTGTACAACTTATCATTCAAACACTACCACTACCCTTTCAACAATTGACAATTTAGCTCCTGTAGAAAAGCACTTCTTCCATTGATTTACATATAGCGAAACACATATTTAGAAAAAAAATACAGCAAAACGTTAAAAAATTGATGAGGGATTAAAAACGTTATCACTGGATAATCTTTAAAAAATAAATCATGTTAATTGCAACATTTCAACTCTCAAGAAAAAAAATATCTGTTTGGACCAGAAAATACTCACACTGTCCATGTGCCCACGAAGGATATGAAGGCCAGCATGATGGGGAAGAGTGTCCACAGAACCATGTCTCAATAAAAAATCTACAAAATAAATACAATTGTCGAGTGAAATTTGTATTCACTTGCCTCCGAACGCTGCTACAGTAGATTCCTCAGGTTCGACAGAGCACTCCTTGGTGTTGTAAATGTAGCCTGGTCCTCATGCTCAGAGGCTCCACCATGCCTTCCCAGGTCAGCCCTCTTTATGGGAGCGTCTGTCTGACTGTCACTCCTCTTTGCACCACTTTCATTCAAGCTGCTTGAGCAAACAGAAAGGCTACATCCACTGGGCTGGGCTGAGCTGCTTTTCAAGACAAGGTATGGATGACCAAAGGAAAAGGTGCAAAATGAATGGCAGGCTTTCACTGGTAAAGAAGTGGAAGCAGCTGTTGCAAAAGAGCTGATTGGACAGTGAGCACATACCTAGAATTCTGCAGGCTGCAGAGCTTTGATCTTGTTGCAGTCCAGGTGACAGTTGACTGTGCACAGAAAAACGTGTTGTTCTTTAAAAATATGACAAAACATTTTTCCCCATATGTATTCAATTGCAAAGTTATTTTCATTAGAGCTGTAGTGGACCAAAGCATTCTTGGCTGACCAACTACAAGCCAAGTTGATAACTTGGTCAACTAAAAAGTGGTGTGGAAAATGTAACAATTATCACCACGAACCTGACCCAAACTGTTCTCACAAAACATATGACCTTATAAAGATACTTTACTAAGCATTTAGTGAATATTTCTTTCTTAAATAGTTGAATGGAGACTATGAGAGTTTGATCTGACTTGATTATCCTAGTGAATACCCACATACCCCATATCTTCTCATTAGTGCAGATTTCACATATCAATTTGTGTTTGACTTAACATAGACCGATCAATTGACTAAAAGACTACAGATATAAATTCCATAACAAATAATATTCTAAACTATCTGTTAAAATGCACTCTCTAATCTAGGACGAAGACTAGACTATGTTTTACATGAGACTATTTGGTGGTTAGCACAAGTTTAGGCAAAATACAGCAAGCAGACTTGAATATTGGCCCAGAGGCAAATATGTCTGGCATATTCAAACATGCTTCAAGTTATTGGTAACATGGTGCCTCATGCCCAGGCAGCTCGTCAGGGACGCCTCAATATTGCACAACAAAACCAACCAAACTGAAAGGATGTCCCATGAGAGCTGCACGTTTCCACTGTATACGAGCTCAGGGTAAGACCCATGGATCTTTAATAACTGGATAGGATATTACTATCTTATAGCTGTCCCACCCACGGGCACAGGGACAAAATTCACACGGGCTACCCAGAAAAAAGTCCCATAGAACTCAGTGTAAACTAAACCAGCTCGACCTCAGCTGACAGAGAACCTACAGTTTTCAGAAAGATCGTATTTTGTGGGGATTTTAGTGTCCCTTATCATCCTGTACTTTTTTTATTCTTAAATCCTTCGTTTTTTTTGTTTTTTTTTTAAAAACCACATTTTACTGCCACAAACTCAGGCGCAACGCATCATGGGTGCTCGTCCACTGCGCAGAAACGGGAGGACCAGACATGCCCAAATATAGGCGAGTTCTGCCAATCTCCCGGTCCCCGTGAAGTCCCCTGCACTACTTAGCACAAGCCAGATTGGCCACTGTACCAATCCGGTAGAAAGGGTTTTTATAATAGATTTATGGGGTTAAGGTCCCCTGGTCCCTGCCCGTCGAATGGGTGTTTCGCATACGTCATTTAACTGACGTAATGCCGATGACGCTAACTCACAGCCGCAAGTTGAATTTTATAGGTTGATATGGGATATCTAATGAATGGATCGTATTGTATCCATGTCGAATAACAAGATTATACATACTATATGCATTTGATGAGTAATATTTCAGGTGATGATCAACGTTTGTGACTTAATTTTCTCCAAAAGGGGCTTGTTGCAAATCATTCAATCATGGATGCATATGTTAATTTATTTAGATAGGTATTAAGTGTTTTGGTCGTTTAGTGTTAGTTTCCCCGTATTTTTACACTTGCAGTTTAGATGTATCTACCATTACGTCCCTATCGAAACACAGGATAACTTTCGCTGACAGAACGTTTAACTAATACAAATAAACACACTATTTTTAATCAGCTTAAATACAGTACCGATACATTCATTAGATGTCATGTATTTTTTCTATAATCAACCGACGTACAAGCGGCTGTCTGGTTATCCACAGGAAGCGCATACTGTAAAATTACGTATGCGGAAGACCCGTTCGACGGGCAGACCACCCATGGATCTATTATAATCTGTATCACATCAGGCCATGGATCAGGCCACCGTATGGATCTATAATAACAAGCGTATCACAGTCAGGAGTTCGACTCGTCTACCACACGGGGTCCTCACTTCCAAAACAAACAAGATGGCGGTGCGCGTGGGAAGGCCTCTCCTCCAGCTCTTGCGGACGAGAAAATTACCACAAATATATAGGTATAATGGGGAAAATCATTATATTACATACATAGTTTAGATAAATTAAGATCATGATCTCTAGTAAGGAAGCTCTTTCCACACCATGCTAACGTTAGCTATGTCGTCATTAAACAATATTGGTTCTAATTTTGATTGTGTAGGCTTTGTTTTTGTCTGGTTTGGAGTTTCAAATTTAGTTTTGTGTTTACTTTTTTCACCTGTGGTAGTGCTATGTTAACTCGAACCAGTAAATGTGTCTTGTCTCCAGGATCCATAACATATCTGGGGTCTCATACCACACAAAGCCCGGGGACCACGCTTCCAGAAGATTGCAGTCAGTCCCACAGAGCACACATGTCTCCAGTAGGACTGCTGCACAAACATAAAGTAGTGATTGATTTGAAGTTGTTCACCTGCATTTGTTTTCTACTCAGGGAGATGCCTGTCTATTGGAACACAAGACACTCCAAACCCTAAGAGCCTCAAGTTCCTCCCTGGTAAAGCTGTGCTGGGGAGTGGGACACTGGATTTCCCCTCCTTAAGCTCGGCAGAGTGTTCCACATTAGCCAGGTTGGTGTGCCTATCAACTAGAAAAGCACTCGCTTCCACCTCCACCATGAAAAGCAATTCCATACCTTAGAAATGATCTCTATCATATAGATGTATAAACTTGATTTGTTGTTGCAAAAATCCCATATTCACTGACCTTCGATAAAAAATGCTTTGTAAACACATTTCATTTCATTACGCAGTCATTGTAGAGTTCTCATGGAATTATCTTGTAAAACCTCAGCATGTTGAAATTTTGGTAAGGTTCGAGTCAATTTATTTTTGCACAGCCCTAAATCATAACAGCATTCGTCTCATAGGACATTAGCAAACAAAAGATCAGATAATCTGTAGATCCAGGACTGAGGCTGTAGGTCCAAGACTCGGGCTGTAGGTCCAGGACTCTGGCTGTAGATCCAAGACTGAAGAGGGAGGGGGCAGCAGCCAAGTTACAAAAACAATAAATCGCTTACTAAATTAGTTTACTATTTCAATAATCAATTATCTGGGATTAAGCGATTCATTTTTTCAGTCCCATAAATATTAAGATTAAGAGATCCTTTATTCGTCCCACAGTGGTGACATTTCAGTGTTGAATCACAAGTTACAGAGAAAGTATGATAAGTGTGTGATGAGGGGTTCAACAGCTTTAAAACTATATACTCTAGCTGCATCTTGACAGATTGTGCTTATTGCACGTTCTTTTTAGACGTGATAAAAGAGGGACCACTATTTGCTTTTCCCAAATAGACCTAATAAAAACTCACAAATGACAACAAAACACAATCATAAGTCCAGAAAACAAACAAGTTGTCAGTTATCAAAAATGCGCACATGGACTTCCAGAGCTTTTGTGAGTGTTTTGATTGTTGTACCAGATAAGCATGTTGATAATGTTTTAGAATTGAAACAATACAATGTAAACAGTTTGGATGTTTTATGTACATGTAACAACACCCTATTATTCCATGCTGGGCGCATGCGTGTGTGTGTGTGTGTTTGTTTCTTCAGAAATCTCTTTGACATCGAAGGAGTAAAAAGTGTTTTCTTTGGCCCAGATTTCATAACACTGACAAAGGTAAAAATAACACTTTAAAGATATAGTTTAGTGATGAAGACTGAAGTGTGGTGCGTATGTAGGCAGACGACTGGGTGGAGTGGACAGAAATAAAACGTCACGCCATGGACATCATCACTACCTATTATGAAAGTGGAGAGCCCATAACCATTGGTGCAAATACGAACGACAGCAGTAAGTTTAGGATGTAGATTACATAGTGATTATTTGCACTATATTATCACTATTTGTGATCTAAAGTGTTCAATTGTGTTACATATTGGGTCATAATTATATGTAATGTGTGTGTGTATATATATATATATATATATATATATTTATTATGGTTTTTTAGGGTTTTCTATGGTATTTTTATAGGCCATTGTGAAGATGATGATGAAATAGTGTCTCTCATAAAAGAACTGTTGGACAACAGAATCCGGTAAAACCCGACACTTGTATGAAAGTAGTTGTACTGTACCTGCCCAACATGACGCTGTGTTCCCTCACAGGCCGACGGTACAGGAGGACGGAGGAGATGTTATCTTTAAAGGCTTTGAGGACGGAGTTGTGAAACTAAAGCTCGTTGGTTCCTGCACAGGCTGTCCAAGCTCCACTGTTACTTTACGAAGTGGTATTCAAAACATGATGCAATTTTACATCCCTGAGGTTGCCTCAGTGGAGCAGGTAAACGTTGTGTTCCAGTAAATTGTAAGTATATCTTTGGATGTGCTTTCTGAATTAACTTGATTTTTTTTTTTCTAAAGGTTGAAGATGAAGTTGATGAAATCAATGCAAAGGTTTTCCAAGAGGTTGAACAAAAATTACTAAAATAAAAAATGGCTACTACCTTAATATAAAAAACACAATCATATCTGTGACTGCTGTATGTGAAGTCAAGCGTCATCATGAAAGAAAGTAATGTTGAGAATCACTGATATTTATATTTTTAAGCCAAGCAGCCTGTACGTAACCTGGCAAGAGCCAGATTGATGATTGTGTAGACGCGTTCTCCGCGATATCAATCTGGGATTTCTCCCGGAGAATCCTTTTGGGGAAAGGAGGGGTAAGCAGCAGAATACTTGAAGCTGATTGGGCGAAGTGACGCTGTGTGCCCGCCTACCAAGGTTGCCGTCCAGAAATGTACAAAGCGCCTCTCGCTGTTCATCTTTCAAAAAAGAAATTGGAGATTCTGCTAAAACTGACTTTGCGTCCGTCCTCCTGCGTAGCCATGTTTGTTTTGCTTCGGCCCGGCACTTCTTGCTTTCGTCAAACCCGGATATCCCGCCCTAAACCCCCAGACTGGCGCGTGATTGGCTCGCACACCCAGTGCTTCGACTCGAAAAGTGTAAGCGGGAGCGGTACAAGATGTATTCTCGAGTGTTTGTGAACTCACAAATACCGCGAGAATTCAGCTTGCAGGCAAGGTTAGCCTGTACGTGTTGTTTTTTTAAAGCTGTATTATATATGAAATGTAAAGAAAACGATATACTATGAATAAATGTAATGTTAAAAGAACACAGTGGATGACTTGCTCCTTAAATAACTTTTGACATGGAATGTCTTTAACCCTTGTACTATCCTGTTATTTCTTACAATCACCAAACAATACATTGGGAGCTATACAGGAACAAAAGGTTATGAAACTTACCTAAGTAAGTAAGTAAGCTTTATTTATATACCGCCTTTCACAGACCAGAGTCACAAAGCGGTTTACAATTGTTATTTTTTGGGCACTTGTCCTCTCACTCCACACAGAGATGGGAGCGGGGTCGCCGAACAGGAGGCGCATGCCAGACCGATTGTACATATTTTTAGTGGTAGGGGAAACCGGAGTACCCGGAGGAAACCTACGCAGACACGGGGAGAACATGCAAACTCCACTCAGAAAGGTCCTGGTCCGGCCGGGATTCGAACCCAGGACCTTCTTGCTGAGAGGCTTGCTAAGTGACCCGATCCTGTCACAGAGGGATGGTCACTTGGACCCGGGAAACCAATTTCTGTATTGAGTTGTGCAAATTTACTGGGGGATATATTCACTGTCCTCTAGATGGCAGCAAGACAACACAAATGAATCTAGTCCAAGCCCTGGTCATCAAAGATGGCGGCCTATTCATATCAATGGCCTCAGCTCAACGTATGGATCTATTATATCAACTGGATAGGGTATTGCTAGCTTATAGCTGACCCACCCATTGGCACGGGGGGCAACCTGTGATACTGCAGAAATTCACCAGGACTACCAAGAAAAGAAAAGATTGGATTTTGTGGGGATTTTCATGTCCCTTGTCATTGTAAACTTTTTTTTCTTATCCATCGGTTTTCTATAAATACACACATTGATCAGCGTTGCACTGATTGGTCAATGCGTCCATGCCCCTCGGTGCACGTGCACATGCATTTAGGTTGTTATGTTTGTTTCTTTAGAGATCTGTTTATCTGCAGCCCTGGCCTTTTTATGTATTTTTTTGTGTGTCTGTACGTGTTTTTATTCTGTTGATTTGATAGTGTTTTTAACTTAGAACCTTGAGACGTGCATTGCATATGTAAGGTGCGTTATAAATAAAATCTATTACTATCATTTTTATTAGATCTGTTTATGGTCTTAGGTACCCTGTTTAGATGACAAGTTAATAAAAATGTGGAGCTAATGAACCATGTGAAATTATTATTCATTAATTTATTTCAGGCAACACAGTTGTTTTTTTTTGTTTTTTATTATTTATTTCAGGCAATGTGTAACACCTGCTTAATATAATTAAGTTAGGGATTTCAGACTAGGTTCTAGAGGAGTAGGAAGGAGAAAGAATTAAAGTTGAACAGCCGGCAGATTTATTACAATCTAACAATTGCACTTAAATCAAAACAAAAATAACATCTTTAGAAAGATGAAAAACAAAATAAAAATAGTTTGATTGTCTTTAGTCCCGATATACAGGAAAGTTCAGTGTGAAAGCGGTCTTTCGCAACTTGTTGTCCGTTCGGATGTGTATTTGGTGTTCTTATCTGGGATCCAAAGGATTTGAAGTGGTCGGGTCTTTATCCAGAAACCAGAACAGCTGGCCACACTGTTCCAGAGTCTAGAGGTGAGTTCACTGGGTCTGGCTCGCCATCAACTTCAGTGTTCAACTCCAAGATCCGTTTCCAGCACCACAAAAAAACCAGTCTGCACATACAGTACAGAAAAATTAATAAAATGGTAATATCTAGTCAAATGAGATCTCATATATGTTTCTAAATCAATGAAATGGTGAATTTACATTGTTTTGGTTCAATGAAATAAATGAAATGCTTTACAACATTACATCAAACAAATATTTGTCTACACCCTTTTAAATTATATTATTACACTTGTTTTTTAACTTAACATATCATTAACAAAAGCTCCCTTATGAATTTCCCTCTAAATGAAATGACAATGTGCTAAATTAGCATTGCATAAAATAGTACAATAAAGGTGCATATTTCAACAATAAAACTTTCAACATAAACAGTGCTTCACATGAAAACTTTGTAAAATAAAATAAGGCATTGAATTATAGCACAATACCCTTTTAGGGTTCAATACTCTGACTGGTTTTAGCTTATTTAGCATTTAGCTTTTAGCATTCTCGTAACACGTGCAAAGCAAAAGTGCTTTCTGCTAGCTTATTACATTCTGATAACTCACCAGAGTTTCCAAGAAACAACCACACTCCACACGGTTTGATTTTTGAGCAAGACACTCTAAAGCACTGCAAAGTACATATTCTTAAGTTAGAAGTTGTTTAAAAAGTACATTTTATACACTTTCATCTTGTTAACTCACTGTGCAGCTCTCTCGTCTGCTCTCCGTGTCTCACTGCGGACTCTAGCTAGACGCAGGCCGAGTGTGCCTAAGGTGTGTTCAAGTCAGGTAGGAAAGGTGTGTGGTGCATTCAAGGGGCGTTGGAAATAAGGGCTTTTGACGATGTTATACTAGTAACCATGGATTTACATGGGTTACACCCTCCCCTCTTGAATATGCATGAGTCCCATCATGTACTTAAACATCATAGATCTCGGAATTTTCATAACGACTAAAAGATTCAAGAGCTTGGTTAAAGTTGTCTAAGAATCTTTGGGCAAATGATATTAAGGGTTGGCCCAACTCTGGGTAAGTAAGCCGTCCTGGGGCTCGTCTTAATCGCTCAGATTTCCTTACATCTGGTGTTGCAGAGATTGACTCTGTGGTTTGCTCAGTTTCCTGGTCAGTGGTATTTTGGTTTTGTACCATATCCAATAACTCAACATCCAGTTCCCTTTGCTCTTGATTTGAATCATCTTCCCCAATTTCAATCGCGCATGGCTCTTCATCCAATAGTTCATGTTCGTTTTGGATATCATGGCCACCATCAACTCCATCTGAGTTGCTCTCAATTGTTGCAACTGGAGGTGGCAAGAGATCATTAAGTGGGGGTGATGAATTTGAGATGTCCTGGTTTGTTGGTTCATGACGAACATTTGAAAAGGTTGGTTCTTTGTCACAGATGTTAATGAATGTTTCATGAATTTCAGAGGGTCCGGGGATACATTCATAATCCTCCTCCAAGTCTGACATTTCATTGTCCAGATACAATGTCAATGTATCAGGTGAGCTTTGTCGTGTTTTAGGTCGGTGTGGGGCCTTGGGTTTTGTTTCAGTTTCATCCTCTGTATCTGAAAGATCACCACAAGCAAGCAAAAGGTCACGATGGAGAGTTCTAGTGGGACCGTCACCCTTCTCTGGTTGGACAACATACACTGGTACATTTTCCATTTTCTTTACAACATGGTACACATTTGACTCCCATTTGTCAGCAAGCTTATGCTTGTTACGCAAGCGGACATTTTTGACTAGAACTCTGTCCCCAACTTGAAGAGTTGACTCTCGGATCTTCTTATCAAAACGTTTTTTGTTCCGTTCTGCCGTTTTGGTGGAGTTTTCAAGTGCAATTTGATAACTTTCCTCCAACTTTGCTTTCAGATTGCGCACATACTGAGAATGGGAAGTTTGTGTGTTTCTTATATCTGGCAACCCAAACGCAAGGTCAACTGGTAATTTTGGCTTACGTCCAAACATTAACTCATAAGGGCTATAGCCAGTGACCTCGTTTTTTGAACAGTTATAGGCATGCGTGAGAGGTTTTACAAAATCACGCCAATGGCCCTTTTGGTCGTCCCTCAAAGTACCTAACATACCCAGGAGGGTGCGATTAAATCGCTCAACGGGGTTGCCTCTTGGGTGATACAGGCTGGTTCTCACTTTCTTAATCCCGGTCATGGCACATAGTTCCTTAATCACATGCGATTCGAAATCCCTCCCTTGGTCACTATGGAGGCGTTCTGGGAACCCATAGTGAACCAAGAAGTTTTCCCACAGATTTTTTGCTACAGTGTTTGCTTTTTGATCTCTGGTTGGCAAGGAGACAGCATATTTTGTGAAGTGGTCTGTGATGACCAGCACATCTTTGGTGTTCTTACTATCGGGCTCGATGGACAGAAAATCCATGCAGACCAATTCCATTGGTCGCGTAGTTTTTATATTAACCAAAGGAGCAGCCCTTTCAGGCATGGATTTTCTCCTAACACAACGCCCACAGTTCTTTATCTTGTTTTCGAGATCAGTCCCCATTCTAGGCCAATAAAATCTCGACCTCACTAGCTCATGAGTCCTCTCCCACCCCATGTGACCCATATCTTCATGTAACAGTTTGAACACTGTGGATCTCAAGGAAACGGGGAGAACGAGCTGGTAGGTCGTCTCCGAATCACACTGTCTCTTTCTGAACAGCAGACCATTTCTCATTTCCAACCGTTTCCACTCTCGCAACATCAA